CAAAAAAAAAAAAAAAAACTGAAATATAGCTGAAAAATGTAAGCTGCTATTTTAAAGAAGTACATGAAACGAACTTAGTGACTGTTTATAGACTGTTTATAATTGAGCTCTTTTTTGTTTTTTTGTGTGGTTGACTTTTATCCATTGCCCAAAGAAACTGTTATTGCTTATTTGATAAACCATAACACATTATCTTTTTTTACCATTTTTACTGCATCCATGGATCAAAAATGAAAATGTTTCTGAAAACTGCCCAAGTGTAGAGTGGTTTATTCCTTATTTAACATTCTTCTTTTATTATGCCAAAAAGAACTGACTGGACAATGCAACCACTACAGTTAATGAGTTTTCTTTATGTAAAAATCACTTGTAAAAAGGCATATCTATCATTCTACTGAGTTCAAATGATAGTATTACATTTTATGTATAGATTAACTAAAACAAATCTCAACAAATATGTTAAATGAGCAATATATACAAACAGTTGTACAAGCAAGTCACATAGATGCTGCTTAACATATTCAAAGTAGAAGGTACAAATACTTTTGTGGTGTATTTGCAACACAAAATCACTTTTTCAATGACCTATGTGAAATGTCACAGTTCTGATTTGTGTTTTCTTTCGAGAAACTGCTCAAAAACTGTTAAATGGAACATTAACTTTTGAGGACACTGAAATGGCAAAAAGAATTAAAGATAAAATTAAATCAGCTACACTGAACTTACTGTACTTACATAATCTCTTATGAATTAGAATTAGAATTAAAAAGAGAATATCTATATATAATATGAATAATCTATAATATATCATATCTATATATAATATGAATAATCGCTCTTTTATCTCCAAACTTAAAATCCAGTTACTTTACTGATGTACTGTACTGTAATGTACTGATGTTACTTAATAAATAAATATTTATGTTTTCTAATAGTTTATATTCTAATTATTTTATTTTAATATTTTATTACTCATGTATTTATTTTAAAATGTCAAGCCACAAGCATTTTGTTTGTCATAAAATTTCTGATAACATTAACATGGCAACAATGAAATGTGTGAAGAAAATGAGATATAATACTTTGTTTCTATGCAACTGGAATATTACAAAAAATCTAGCAACTATTTCTAATCTTGTGTTTTTAGTAATCATCTCTCATTTGCAGTACCACATTTTTAGATATAGGAATGCACTGCTTGTACTTTGACACCGCTGAAACTCATTAAATATGAATGATAGATGCTTGACATTTCAGTCTTGATACAAATCACTGAGTCTATTCAAAATGAAAAATTATAGTAATAACATGTCTGTACACATGGTATTTATGTTGGTATTTGTTATTATTACTAGGCCTGTCGCAATAATCAATATATCGACTTATCGCGCAATATATGTACATGACCTCAATAAATTTTGGTGGCGCAATATAGCGCCCATTATATTTACATAAAAATTAATGTCACCATGTTTTGTACATTCCACTTGCGCCTGTGTCTTCTGTAGCTTCTCGTACATAACCTGGTGTAGTCATGAGGTACTAGTTCAAATGTAAAAAATGCTTCTACAAAAACAAGTTTCATCTTTAGATATGGTCTTGTTTAGGGATCTGTGCCTTACAGAAATCTGACTGCTGAGTAGTGATTGTGTTTTTCAGCAATAGTGTGCACTGTTCTTATTTCTGGGGCAATATATCGCACAACAAAAAGTTGTTATCGTGACAGGCTTAATTATTACAGTGTAGTATTGCAGCTAGCTTTTTGAGAAGTTTAGCTGTGTCATGATGTCTGAGACTAATGATTCTGTAAGGATATCTGACTGGTGTTCAATGCTAAGGGGCAATCCTTTACCCGGAGCCTCCGTGGCAAGGGTCAGGATGAATGTAGAACTTGTTGCCGCAGTGTCGCAGTATATTACTGTAAATGCTGGACCATTGCCATGGCTACCGCATGAAGATGATGGGCTGTAGGCAGCTGCAGCACTGATGCTGAATTCCTGCCTCTTCATACTAAAAATGCAGAATTTCTAACAGTATGAAATTAAATTTACAACAAAACATTGAAGGAGTTTCTGAAGAATTTGCGTGGTTCTCACAAGCACTTGAATATTTACACTAGAGAATATGATGCTCTGGAGTTTACCAGTGTAAATACTATAGCAAGTAGCTATACATTATTAAATTGCTATGCAGCTGCTCATCATGGAAAACAGTGCTTACTAGAACAATAACTATTTGTGGTATTGTTCTTTTTATGCCATTTTAAAACGATTAGTTAAAATACAGAGACAGACCTATCAGAAAATATTAACACAAAGATTTGGGTGTCTAACTATATGAGCTCATTTGTCATTAAAAGCGCAGTAAGACTGCTGAATGTCGCTTACTTTGCGTATAGCCTTTGAAAAACTGTGTTTTAAGTAGTTATGAAACAGAATCCATTATTATGTTGTCTTGTAACAGTATCTGCATAGCATGACATGATAAACAAAAGCAAACATGCGCTTAGCATGCCGTTACACCTGTTTCTGCGCATGCGCATCAGGTGACCTGCTCTATGCCGCATTTTTGGGCATTAGAGCGCGCCTATGATGCCCAAAAATGCTATCCATGTAGGCAGCTAGCTAGGTTTTGAGACATAGTCATTAATAAACAAGAACAGCTTACCTACACGTGTCCAGTATATTGGTACTCAAATCCTTCGTTTAGAAGCGTGTTTATCCACGTCGGTACATAAGGAGCTGAGTTCATTATGCACGTCCAGCTCAAGTTACTTGCTGTCGGAATCCTTCCTTGCTCAGCGTGACATAAAGCGCAGTAAATCCATATGGTCAAAGATCCTCTTACAGGCCTAAACATAATAACACCGCAGCGCTGTGTCCATGTTCATGCATTCCCGCTCCTCCACACTCATCGGCATGAGGGTTTATCCGAGATTATTCTGATGGATGTGGAGTTAGACGCGCTGACTCCGCCCCTCATATGCCGCTACTGTAGCGACGCAACACTATTTACTGTCATTCCGCAGGAATAACCCGCGTGTGCGGAGGGCGTGGATTCTCACGAGGCCCAGCAAAACTACCGATGTGACATTTACATTGTTGTACAGTGCTGGCCATTGCACTGCTTGACGTGTCACAGATTAAGAAAAAAATCATGTTTTAGCATGATTATGTCATAACATTGTTATTATATTACAATTACTGAAATTTGGCATACGACAGATGAGATTCGATAGGCTACTTCAACAGTATGTCCTTTGGGATATGAACAAAAACTTATGCATCAATAAACCAATTCTACACAAAACTGGGCCAAAATAGCCAATGCTCAAAACCATGTGACTCAAAGGTGATGAATATCAACAAACAAACAAATATGTTGTTTTGTTTGAGCAAACTGCTCAAATATATTTTTTATTGATATATATACACATATTTTTTACATTTGTGACCCTGGACCACAAAACCAGTAACACTCTCTCAGTTCCTGTTCAGATCGCCGTGTATTGTTCTGCATTTTCCACTCACCTAGTGTTAGCTGCATTACCGAGCCTAGTGTCTTGTTTTCTTTGTCTTGCCTTGTCTGTTTCCCCGTGTTCTGATCACTGCCTGTTTACCTGGATTATCTCTCGAGTCTCGCCCTATTGGATACTGTTTGCCCCTGCCTGGACCTTTGCCTTGTACCTTGATTATCCCTCTTGCCTTGCCATCATTATACCTGTTTGCCATTGTCTGACCTATGCCTGTTTTTGACCACATCTCAATTAATAAAGCCTTGCAGATGGATCCGCACGCTTCCTGTGTTCCGTCTGTTACAGTATTGCTGGCCATTGCTACAAATATACCTGTGCGAGTTAAGACTGGTTTTGTGGTCCAGGGATATATTTTGTTTTGCATCATGATGGTCGTGTAAACATTTACAGATCTGAGTGAAAGGCACTAAAATCACATCCTTGAAAATAAATTCAGTATACTTTATGAACATATGCTTTTTTTCTGAAGGACAGCACAGTATGCTTAATATACTGTCTCACGTTATATGAACCTATATGATGTATATTTCTGACTATAATTAGCATTTGCTGCTCATTGTTGTGTGAATAATAAGGTGGAACCAGGCTGCAGGCACGAACTGACTGAACAGACCACAAGAACATTTCATCAGCTTTAAAATAGTGTATCAGTCACTGTAATCCGTGTTTGTGCACTAATAGCAAATACCAGAACTGAAGTTTATAGATGGAGCTATTATTTGAAAGGTAATTAGTTTTCACATCAACAAAATAATGCATAAATTCGGTTTTAAACACTTGGGATAGTAAATTAGGGATACCCTTTATGTTAAGCTGACATTGTTATAGTGTAATTATGAAAATAAGCACTGAGTAATATTAATTAACTACTGTATGTATTTACTATAAGGCTAAGGATGGGGTTAGGGTTTGGTTTATGGTTAGTTACATATAAGTGTGCATAATTTACTGTTGTTACTATTGTAAGTACTGGTAACGTGTAATAACATCACCTTTAAAATAAATAAATATTAGTTTTGTTTGTTGTTTACGGTGGGTATATATGTAGGTAGTTAATGCTATTTATTATTTAATGGCCTTTAAGTATTCTACTGTAAAATAGCTAATGTTGGTCCATGCACATTTTATTGCAGTGCTCGAAGGAAGCATTTGCTGACTGTCTGGAAGTCTTTGTGTTTACTGTAACTGTAGCACAGAGAGTGTCAAATTCAAGGCTACTTATGACTCCTGTAAATATAGGCCGTGTCAGAGGATATGTCTGTGTGCTATGCCTCAGGGTAACTGAGACAGATTCTTCCAGAGACTGTTCTGGATGATGATGATATACTATGCAGATATATGTGGTGAAAACACCATTCAGAACATTATTAGCATTATTGGCCAAATATCAAAATGATACAAATTTAATAAATCACCAATGACAGAAATTTGAAATAAATATGCATTTTATGTGGACAATTTGTGTACACTATATTTTGAAGCTACAAGCAAAAGTTCTAACACTGTGAATATAATGATAAACATCAGCCAAAACACAGAAATACATTTCACAAAGCAAATTTTCAGAAATATATATTAATAGTATTTTTTTTACAGTACAAACAAGATTTCAGGCATTCAGCACATTATATTTACATGGCTGTGTTTTTTTTTTTTTTACATGGCCATTGATCTATCCCTGATCAATTTGTGATTTCAGATTTAAAATGATTGATTTTACTGTTATACTACAAAGCTTTGTGAGATTTCATAGTATCTAGAGTGCAAAATATTTCACCACAAAAAAAGTAGGCTAAAATTGATTTGATGCTGTACTAAATATATTACATAAATGTGAACGCAGTCTTAGAAAACTGGTAATGTTTCACAGTATAATCATGCATAATGTTAGTGAAAATCACTGTAACATCCTGGATGTATCAATAAATGTACTTATTGTATAATGTATATTCTTATACTTTTATATGCGTATTGTTTTGCAAATTGTACAAAAGGCAAAAATGCATTGAGCCTTCATCAATAAATAAAAATACATTTCTGTGTTTTGATGGTAGTCCACACTGTATTTTTCAGAGTTTGTGGTTACCTAGAATTGTAATGATAGGTGATATAACTAAACACATTATAGCACATGTAGTATAATGTGCTATGTGGATTTCAACCCAACAGAAATGTTTAATTCTGATGACGATTATAAATGCTGCCTCACGTGTTTTGTTAAATAATCTTCAGTTCTGAGGCATCCCTTTCAAAAATGATATGTGGAAATTGCTGTCCCAAGAACAGCAGTTCAAAATTCACTTCAAAGAATACAAAGAATACTAACACACAAACTAGACATCTACACACACCCTATACCTCGATCAGGCTCATTGGGATTGGGTAACAAGAAGGGTTTGAATCTGTGTTACAGATCGTCAGACTCAGGGATCTCAAAAGGCTCCAGAGAGACAGTGGGTAAAATGAGAGGCATGCCATCGGAGATCCACCCCTGGGCAGTCCTGTTGAAAGTGGGTCGCTTGGTTGTAGGATCCTGGAGCTCGGGGTACCGAGGAGCATTCAAGTCCACCTCTGGAAGCTTAAAGGTGATCCCTCGTGGGGCTTTTTCGAAACCCCCAAATGGTGTAGCCACCCTAAGAAACAGAGATTTAATTACTGACACATCTGTATTAGTTTCTGTTCTGCTGCTGGAACTTTGGACAGTTTCTTTAAGTTTCCTGCATTTATATTTATATTTATACATACTGTATGTATATATATATATATACTGTATATATTATCAGTATGTCATAAAATATTATGATGTTAACTCTCATTAAAGTCATTTAAAATAAACCAACATAACCTTTAAAACACTGTATTTGTATTTTCAAGATTTATTTTTAATCTTGTTGTTATTATTTTGTTGTTTTGGGGGTTTTTTGTGATGGAATACAGCATAAAGTAAAATCATTTTAAATCGATCCCATTTTAAATCAATGTCAATTTAAGGGATCAAAGTCCCTAATGAATTAATACATTTTTCACATATGAATAATTAGTTATATGGATATTGAGACTGCACCTCCTGTTTATCTCCTCATGATGGTGCTGTGTTGTGCAGATACATTATTGCAGGACTGAATATGTCCACTTTGTGCAATAGATCAACAGTGCACTATATGCAGGGGCGTGTCTACGTGGTGGCCAGGGGTGCCCTGGGGTGCCCCCCTCCCCCCCTACCAGATGTCTTGCGATAGGCTTGTTTTTAGTACATTTCTAACTGCATCTGGCAGTGGCGGATCCTGGCATGTGCAGCTGCCTAGGACCGCTTTCTTCTCCTCTTTATACTTAATTTTAAGCGGTTTCTATAGCGTGATATATGACAAATATCGAGAGCGCATAATGTTACGTGATCCATGTAATGCGCGAGGACGAATCTCTCCACTCGCAAGCGGATTTCCTTCACTCACACAAAACTGGAGTGCTTTTAAATATACATTGTTCTTTTATGAATTGTCTCTGCTCTCGCTCAGATATTGTGTGTACACTAGTGATGCGCGGATGAGCTAAAACGGCATCCGAATCCGTAGCTTCAAATAAATTATCCGCCCGCTCCTATATTTTTCTCTGATTTAGATAACAGCACCCGATCGTCACATTCAGGGTTCGTACGGTCATGAAAAACCTGAGAAACATAGCAACCTCGGCGTCCGATCGCAGGCCTCCGCTCCTTGAGTTCTCTCCAGCGCTGGAAAGCTGATCCGATATTTACACGGGTCCTACTTCTTGCCTTGTCGTTCCGCAGACGTTTTCCTCTTTTGTTTTTTTATCCGCCATCTCTATCTTTCTGTCGCTCGGCTCGGCTAATGTCCGTCCCATGCACTGAAAGTTCTCTCCTCCACATCACGAGTAGACACGCCCCTTATTGCTAATTGGCTACAAGTTTGTTTTGCTATTCGGCCCGAATCAGTTTTCTAAAGTGTTTTTGAAAAATCACATACCCTGCCTTTAATGCAAATTTTCACATATTTTGTCCCGTCTATTGCTATGGTTATCACTATGTTAATCACTGCTACTTCGAGAGTGAATCACGCATAAATATGCAGACGTCATTCCCGAAACTTTGCAACGTGTGAGTGGCCGAAAAACAAAGTTCTACATAAATGGATTATAGACTAGAAACTAAAGCTTGCAAAGAGTGCTCATAACCACTAAAAAGCTGTCACTCTTTGTTTAGTGAGTGTATACACGATGTATTATAAAAGCGTTAAGAAAAAAATGCAATACCTATTAAAGCTTTTGTAGTCAGGCAGCTCTGTTTTAGGCTCAGGAACTGGCATGTGAACTTTAAGTGTGTCGGCCAGCGTGGGGTCATTGATGATGGCCTCTTCCCAGGGGGAGTGGTAGGATTTTGGCATAGCTGTGGCATTGAACCTCTCTGGAGGAATGTTTGTCAGTGGACCTCCATATCCTGCGAAAACAACAGTTTGCTGCATATATTACATGTTATAGTTTGATGATCTGGAGTTCTTGATATACTGAAGCCTCTGTAAAGAATATCTTATGTAGAACACACCATATAAATTGACAGGCACTGACCTAAATTAAGATGAAAGGCGTAGAACTAAACCGAATCAGGCATATTAAAACTGAACTGTAACAAAATGAACTGCACCACAATAAAAACCTAATTAAAAATCTAGTTTTGTCTTGGATTTAGTAGTGCAATACGGTCTTAAGGTTTTTTTACAAAGCAAAAGTAGCATGCATTTATTAAACATTCACAGAGTGAAACCGACACACATACAGTATACTTTTTAACCCATTTAAAGTCACTCAGAGTGATTCACTTAGCTAGAAATAGAAGGTGAGTTGGGGGTGGCATGTGCGGTCACTATCATATTCTCTCTTTAATCTCTCTGATTCCATTGCACTTACTCTTTCACAGATGATACAAGGCTTTGTAAGAATCTTACAAGTTAGTCAGGGTGGATAACAAGAGTAAAGCACGAGTAGTGCAATACTCCTGACTCATCTGCCATTATGACATACATTAATAATTCATCTAAACCATGTTATTTAAACTGTTAAAATGAAACAGTTTTGAAATAAAATTTGTTCTAAAACACAATTCTTGTTTTTGTTTTTTATGTTTAATCCAATGTGTTACTTCATGTTTATTTGTAATTATTTGTGAAATTTAATAGTAATTTCTTAGTGAAAATAGTTTCAAAGCCATTTTTTGTGCATTACAAACTGTTGATTTTGACATACCTGGTGCAATGTCCTGAGGGTTTGCTGGATTTCTGGGATCTGGTGTGTTTGGGGGCGTTTTTGATGCAAGTTGTTGAGAGTTTTCTGCATTGGCTTGATTTTCATTCTAAAATGAAATGTCAGTTTCAACTTGGACATATAGTAGCCTAGCTCACTGTGCATGTGTAGCAAGACATAAAAAAAAAAAAAACTTTACAAACAATTTTATAAATAATTTCAGATTGTGGACCAAGTGGCCTGAAAGTGACTTTGTTCCACTGTTAAAATGGTGCTGTGAAAGCACAATATGTTATTGACAGCAGCTTCTCCAAAAAGGCAGAGGGGAGGTAAATTGAGCGATGTTTGACACAGATTAATCTCTGTGCACATAATGCTTGATTCTCCCAAAGTGCACTTTTGTGTTGAAAGTAGTCTGTTCTATCACTCCATGTTAAAAATATTAAACAAAAAGGTCAATGGAGGATTTTCAAACTTCATGTCAACACCACTATTTCCAGACAAAATGGTTAGAGATGTCAGAGCCTGGACTTCAACAAAATCGTTATATCAAGAGCACTTTCACTACCATTGTGCCACAGCTCTGCCATTCTTTTCTTTCACAAGTTATGATTGAAAAATTATTTATGCTTTATTACAACTATTTACTTTAAAACAATTCACTTCCCAATATCCTTGATCTTGGACTGTTGTTTTAGTAGTAGCAGATTACTAAATCTGTTCTAATTAAGCGATACAGTGGTTTCTTGTACATTAATTTCATTATGTATACATTTACAGTAATATATAGTTACAGTGTACATTATAAATCCTTTGATTGAAACACATTAACAAGCTATCACTTATGTAAAAATGCATTTTGGTACACAGTAGTGAGAATGAGCACACACACACACACACAAACACTTGAACAGTGATAAATGAAGTAGGTTGTCAGGGACGCATTTCAGTGCTCACCCTAAAGAAGGAACACTGGGAAGGACACGGGCACGTGGCATTTGCTATCTTCCATGTGTGGCTGCCACTCATTCAGCTGAGCACATGCTTGCTTTACAAAGTAACCACACATATAGTAGTTCAACAAGCAAATCACAATTATATAACAGAACAGTTTAGTCTTTCTAGGCTCAGTGTCAGTGATTAAGTGACAAGATCAAATTAGATATCTGAGCTCACATCAGAAGTAGGTTCGAAATTATTGGTATTATTAGTGTCACAATATGTACTACATTGATTTGCATCTTTTGATCTGCAATATAATGATTGTTATGCACAATATAAGCAAACAGACTTTTGTTATGCACGTAGGTTCAAGCCAGTGTAGATGCTACTTACATTAAACATGGCATTGGCTTCATTCTGAATGCTTTCAAATGTGTATTTCTCTGATCTCCGCTGTCGCATCTTAAAAAGACGTGACCCTCGGTTTGACAAGAGAGACAGTTCCTCCAGCATGATGTCTTTTGGAGTGGAAAGTTTCTTTCCCAGGTCCATAGTAAAACCTGCATTAATATCACACAATTTTTTGTTATTACAATATAATTCAACAGAGCCCTTTTCAAAACCTTGGATAACACATTATAATAATTTACATGATAATATACATGGCTCATGACAATTTATATAGACAATAATTAATGATTCATAAAGACATTACTACAATATATCATGTAATAATGTCTGTTAATGACTTAATAGTGAATGATATGAAAGTGATTATGAAGTGAACTTTTAGATGCTTCATATGATTCATATTTGAATACATATTGTATGTAGGTGTCCTTTATTCAAACAACATATGATACAAAGAAACCAAAAATACAAAAGGTTATAGATACCTGTGTTAGATACACATTCTATACCTGCATTAATATCACACAATTTTTTGTTATTACAATATAATTCAACAGAGCCCTTTTCAAAACCTTGGATAACACATTATAATAATTTACATGATAATATACATGGCTCATGACAATTTATATAGACAATAATTAATGATTCATAAAGACATTACTACAATATATCATGTAATAATGTCTGTTAATGACTTAATAGTGAATGATATGAAAGTGATTATGAAGTGAACTTTTAGATGCTTCATGTGATTCATATTTGAATACATATTGTATGTAGGTGTCCTTTATTCAAACAACATATCATGATACAAAGAAACCAAAAATACAAAAGGTTATAGATACCTGTGTTAGATACACATTCTATGAAAGGTCACATGAAAAATCATTCAACCTTAATAGAAAGGGGTGAATTCATTATTAAAAGGTTAAATATGCTGGTTATGAAAGTTTATAAAAGGGAAATTATATAAGGTGCATGTCTTATGCTATTGCTGCAGGAGCTGTTCAGCCATGCTGATGACGTTATTCTGAACATTTCCAAGATAATTATAAACATAACTTGATATTTAAAATAGAAATCATTCATTTTGTGTGTGATTAATGTTTAATGTTGATGTTTCAATATAACATGTTTAATGCTAATTAAAATTGTAAAAGATATAACAAAAGGACTGTGAAAGGTTCAGGGGATTTTTTTTTTAAACAGGAGAAGCTCTCTTGTTCTCCATGATCTTTATTCTGTTCTCATTTCAGCTCCAGCACAGCTGTTCTACCCCATCCTCCCAACTTTAGCCTCTGCAGAAATAGCCTGTGACAATGACAGAGTTATAGGCAGCAGAACATCCACACATGATTATTTATGGCTAGAATGTGGCTGTGACCCTGAACCACATTCTAAATGTTGGCGTTTCTCTCTGCGATTGGCAGCTACGTTCAGTGCTGTGCTCTGTAATCATTCAGTGCTGATCTGAGAGCAGAAGGTTATACCGTTGGCACCACCATGGACCTCATGGCAAAGGGCAGCTGCCTGCTTCTTCCTCTCACGCACTGAGAGAGTGCTGAACTGTGACATGTTGGTTTAAAAGAGAATCCCAGTAGTGCTGCAATACATAAAGGACACAGATACTTGTAGTAGAACTATCTAAAGTCAATTTATAGGATAATGTGATGAAAAGTCCCAAGAGAACCTGTCTGGAAAAAAAGTTTATACAATAAGGATATAGCTTTTTAAATTAGATGGATTTGTCTATTATTATAACTACAATATTCTATGTTTTTTATTACATATATTGAAAAAATGTGTTGTCATTGTGAATTTAACTAAAATAAGTGTAACCATCTCTATAAATCTGCAAAGTATTTTTCTCCTCTAAATTAGTACTTCTGTGTAAAAATGTTGAGGATTACTATAGAGTTTCTGACCCTGACAATTTCAACGGTTAAGTCTTGTATTAGTTACCGAAGAAAATTGTTCAGTTGTGTTAAATGCCATATTTAGGCTTTCTAAACCACCGAAAATACCCTTCCATAACTGTCATTAAAGTGTAAAGGTGAAACTTACCCGACCACAAGCCAACTCTTTATACAGAGCAAGATGTCATATGTCATGAAGTGATATAAATCATGGTTATGCATGAGCTGGTGACGGAAACATTGTGTCCACTGGGTTACTGAGACTGATCAAAGCCAAAAGAAACTTTCTTGGCACAGTTTGCAAGGCCTTGCCATTCAATCCTTTACTTGCTGCTCTCACTGAAAAGCTCAAAAAGATCAATCTCGGAATTCTCTCTTTTTTGGTAACATTGCTGATAATGCTTAAATTGATTTGTGTAGGTAAACTATTCCTCGTGAAAATGTTTTTTAATGGTCGCATAATATTATCAGTATCTATTTGCATACTTTATATTGCTGCAATGCTAAATAAAAATAAAAAAATTCAGAAAGAAATTCCTAAACAATCATTTTCATACTTATGTTCATTTGTTAGGGCTTCTGTTTTAGTTAATTCCATTATCATGTGCACATTTATCCAATATAAGTCTTCTAAGAGAGTCGTCTAAAATACATCTCTGAGTATCTATGTTTTGTTACCACAGTTTAAGTGTCAGAACTGTCCACAAAACACAACCCACAACTCCCAACACTGTTATAACACATGTCCGTTATCATTATGTCCACACTGCACACAGTCTTTCAAGGAAGGCCATCTTCTTACCTGTTAGATCTGCGTGTGTCTTGAGTTCTGCCTGTACAAAGGAAGAGGTTACTTTAGGTAGATCGATCCAGCCTGATTTGTCTTTGTCTCGCACTCTGTTCTTGACTTGCACTGGGGTGGGGGTGTGTGCGGGTGTTAGTGGAACGCCAGCTTACATCAATAGGCTAATTTTAGCTGTGTTCAGCACTCAAACCTCTCACAATGGTATAAGTTGGTATGGAGGGGGAGGGAGGTGAACTGTATGCATGAGAATAAAGTCTACAAAGTCTGTGAGTGAGTACTTTTTGTGTATGTGTGTAAAAGGTGATGGATGTTTTAGTCTGTGTAATTGTTAGCTTCAGAGGCTGGGATTTTCTTGATTGTCATTTATGGCTGGCCTTCCAGAAGTATGAAGATCCTGCTCCTGCATTGTTACATAACACATCATCTTATATAGGACTCAGCACTGAGATAGTTGTCTGCTCCAAGAGAAAATCAAATAGGCCTAGTCTATTTTGCAGTTTTATTGTCTGTAAAAAGATCTGATAGAATCCAAATGTTTAGTAATAAACATTGGTAAATAGAACAGTAACAGCATTTTTGGTCATCGTGCTTTAATAAAACTCTTTTTATTGTACAGCTTGTACATGTTAGGATAGATAAGAATCCAAATTGTTTGTGATGAGTTCGGATTTCAAAAGTATTGTCAGGTTTTCTAACACAAAATAGTTTAAACAATGTGCATATTTAAATGAATGAAGTTGCAGATGTTCATTCAGATAGAAATTATATTCTGTGCTGTTTCTAGAGTTAGTATTAGAAAAAGGTTATTGATTCACACATTGACTTACACAGGAGAAAAATAGAAAATTCAACATATAAAATGATTTTTTTTTTTTTTGGCATTATAAATTATACACTGAACATTAGTTCCACAAGCAGTAATGCAATTTTACTATGAACTATGAAGTGTGAGTCTATCTATGATGAAGATCTGCACGTTGACAATCAAACACCTCCAATATGCCTCAATATCACCCAGAAACATAATTATGAGCATTTAAGTTGAACACACATACTATCAGAGATAAAGACATAATCAAAGATTAAGAACAACACAGTGAAAACATCACACTTCTATCCCTTCTGACATGATTGAAAATCATTGATGATTCATTAAAAAATGTAAAAATGTTGTTCTGGAGGCTTGACCTTAACTGCCATATTTTAATGGGTGAACTAAATCGCATGTAGTTCAGATTAATCATTGTTGCATACTGACTGCATTTGTCACAACTAAAAAGATTAATTGTACAAGGTTATACACATAAAACTAATCTAAACTAACACTCCCCTGGGAAAAAAGACAAACAAACAAACTTGCCTTCCCTTGATTTTTTTGCTCATACATATTGTAAAAGATGTAATGTGTATGTCACACCCTATGGACCTCTTTTGTTGTGTTTTCATTCCTCGTGTGTTCATTGACCCTGTTTCTGTCTCTCTCGTTAGTTAGTTCCTTGTTCACATATTTGGTTATGTTCCTGTTCTCGTTATGTCATTATTAGTTCATCCTCTTCACCTGTCTGTCCCTCATCAAGCTCCCCTATATTTAGTCAAGTCTGTGCATTCTGTCTTTGTCCAGTGTTAAAGTTGAGTTGTACGTGTGTTACCTGCCTACCTTCTGTGGATTCCTTCTGTGTGGTTTATATTAAAGATTATTTGCATTCATCTTTGTCTTCATCGTGCGCTTATCACACTGTACCGTGACAGTGTATGAATATAATAATGCTATATAAACAAACTATAATAAGAGGCCAACAAGGAGGCCTCAGCAAAGATAGCTGCAAGATTATTTAAACTTCTTTAGGTTAGGTTATAATTTAATAATATTAAATTATATTAAAATAATACAACTTACACTGCCATTGAAAAATTCAGCTTTGCATGACAGGAATAAATTATATTTAAAATTGTATTAAAATAGAAAACCGTTATTTTAAACTGCAATTATATTTCACAGTATTTTTATTATTATTTTTATTTTATTTTTATAAAAGTTTTTTTCTGTTCTTTTTTGGATCAAGCAGAAGAGACTTCTTTTAAAAACTTTTAAAAATCCTACTGATCCCAAACTTTTGAACAGCACTGTATTTTAAATGCTAGAATATTAGGCCTATAACATACTGTAAACTGATGACATAATGGGTTATTTTTGGTCTTTTGGATCTTGACAGCAACTGGAGTGGAAAATGAAAGATTTTTCATGTTATTTCTTAAACCTTCTTTTTAAAAATCAGCATGGACAGACCAAAAAACTTGGTAAGTGAGGTTTATGTTTAAAGATATGGAAATAAAACAAACAATAACAATATGGCCCCTTTTATATTACATATAATATGAGATATATACTATGATTTAATTTGATCACTCAAAATATTTAATTACAGTTTCCAACTGACTCTATGCAATTGTGGACAGTTTGTGTGAAGTGTGAAATTTCTGGGCAGAGAACTACCCCTGCTGTACCTGTTGCTGGTCACCAGAGGCTGTGCAGGACGGAAAGGCGGCCCATGTATTGGTTCTTTTGGCACTGAAGAAAAGCTGTTGGTAGGGGATGTAACAGCTATTACAGGCTCCATCTCCTGTGGGCCACCAACAGACTCATAGAAAACTCTTTGCTTCCATTCTGCAGATGTTTCTGGTAATGATTTTCTGTGAGTAGCAGAAATTTTGGACTCATCAGGACCAAAGGGGCTTTGAGAAACTGCCTCCACAGAGGAGAGTGTTTTTTTGGGCTGTTCCACCCATGAATATTGCCTGTTCAGTGATTGACGTGTTGAATGGACACCTGGTGTGAACACAGAGGAAGCGGGAGACAGAGAGGACAGTCTCTGGGGGAAAGACAAGGAACGGCTCCTGCTGAATCCCTAGAGAAAGAAAGATAGACATTCACAATTTTTTCAGTAATAAATATAACACACATAAACAAATATACACAAGTTTGCAAATATGAGCAAATAATCACAAATTTTAGTTTGTAACACAAATTGTCACTTCTGTATTTCTTACAATACTTTTTACAGCAAACAAATAAATGAAAACATGCATTTTGACTGCCCTCTCCTGGACTATGTCTGTAAATGCTATTTAGAGGCATTGCTAATTTTGGTTCAGGGGAGGTCAGGGTTGGTTGGCACCTGATTAATTCTGGGTTATAATTAGATACTGTCAAAATATTTTTCTGAGTTGTTGCACTCTTCAAGCTTACTGATTCTATGAAGACACGAAAGTTAGAGACTGGTAAATGTATATATATATATATATATATATATATATAAATA